AACACTAAAGGTTACTGAATTACCCAGTCGTATGTTTGCTCCTTCTTCCCCACCCCCAATCCACAAAAGGGATGAAGATTAACTACAAAAATGATTTGTAACTGCAAGGCCAATTTAATTATTAATGAGGCCAGATGTTTCACAGAGCTTCCTTCCCCTGTAATTTCACAGAAAACAAACAATGCAGTGCGCTACCATATTAAACATGCCATAAGGGAAATCATTAGATGCCACCTACAAGCTACCAAACCACAAACCTTGTTCCGTAATCCAGTTGTGCGTCAGGGAGAGTATGTATATCCATCTGAAGTAGGGTCACGTGAAAATACCATGTTCACTGCTTCACTTCTTATGGAGTAGACTATTTTCTCTGCACTGATATTTTCCAGCTATTTTGGGCTTACAGTTACCTTAGTTGGCAACCTGAGGAGACTGTACAACACAGGGCAAAACAAAATAAAACTTCTGTAGTCTTCCATCCCAGAAAATCAGAAATCTATTCAAATGTATGGCTGCAGCTATTTTGCCTACCAGGATGCTAAGGAGCAAACTCTGAAAGCCCTGGGAGAAACTTCCTCAAAAGAAAAAAATGCAGTGGACTCAATCCTCAGATCACACTGACTCCTTTGAAAGGAGGTCAGAATAAAGTCAGAGCTTCTGGAAAGAAGAAGAGAGGATTTCTAACTGCCTGCAGGGTCATGGAGGCAATGCTACTTTCATTAAAATCTGTCTTTAAAAAGTAATTCACTAGTCTGTACTGTATGTGGTTACAGATGTTTACTCTTACGACAGGCAGCAATTAAAAACTCTTTACATTACAAAAATTTGAAGTTTTAAGATTAAAACACTTGCACGAACGCAACCCTTCAGGTGACAGACACGTATCTAACAAAGCCTCACTTTCAGAACCACTAACATTCATGAATACTGCATATAAATATAAGCAGTATAAATTGACTTAACATTTTAACACTAGTTTTGCACAATCGGCATAATCTAAGATATCAGTAGCTACTATTTTAACTGCAATACGAACTTGTGCTTCCACAGAGCTGATTAGCAGCATATTCATAATTAGCATACTCTATTGATGAAGAAACTGAAGTTCTCTTACATAAGCAACAATAATGGACCACATATTACATTCTAGTAGAATTAGAATAGGTTCTCTGCTACAAGTATCTCATATAAGGTTCTCCACTGCTCTTGGGGAAAGCATCATTTCTTGCTATGCTGAACCTCTACTGGGACTCGTAGCATTATATACTGCATTTAAGTAACATTAAATTGCCTCTAACAACTTCACAGTGATTGGTAATTAGCACGTCACCTGACAGTTAACTTGACTCTAGTCAAGTATCACAAGGCTAGTTCTATGAAAAGCAGACAATTTGCACAGTATTTGCATAGGATGGCACCACAAGATCAGCTTTTTTTATATTTTGTCATTAGAGGAAAAAATATTTTAAACTTACAGTATGTTCTTGAAAATAAACTTTACAAAATTTGTACCAGTTGACTTCAAACTGAAAAGGCGCTAGAACGGCCCTCAAATCTGTCTTTGTGATCCGCACAATGTCAACACGCTGATATTTAGATTCCACTAATAGCATTTGCTCTGGATTTGTACAGCACACAATAGATTATCAATATACATAAAATATAACTCTGGGAGAGAGGAAAGTAGATCCTACAATGTCACTGAGCTTCCTTCTAATAATCTCAGCTTGGTGGTAAAAGTACACACAAGTGTACAATTCCAGAGGTTATTTATCCTGAAACCTTGTTTCCCTGCTTAAATGTAGCTCAAATTCTGGGCCTCAACTTCCTAATTCCTGCTTTATAAACAACAAACAGACCAAATCTAACAGTCTACTTTGACATGGTGTATGGCCTATTTTAGAAATTTTACATTCAACTATATAGTAGCTCAGCAGCTTATAAATTAGAAAAAGTTTGAAAGAAGATATTATGCCTCCCAAAAAACAAGATCATTCCTTAAATCCCAGTCATTGTGCAAGACACTTACAAGGCATTTTTAAGGCCTTAGTGCATCCAAACATTTACTGTATCAGGACAAAGACAATAAGACAGACAAAATCTAATAACCACTCTCTGTTACAGACAAGTAACTTATTTACTCAAAGCCACCCCCATTTCACACAATGGGAAAAGAGCTGCATTTTGGATCCGAGTACCAGGACTAGGCCCAAAAGCTACTGTCCGCCTCTACTCCCCACCCCCACTACAGCAGTGCAGGGAAAGAGAGAAACAGATGAATTTAAGATGACCCTCCAGTAACTCTCTACACAGAAAATTATAACACACTTACAATTTTCCACACACAAAAAGTAATTATTGGGCAGTTCTGTCTTAAAATCAGAGTCACCTTGGATTCAGATAAATGCAGCATATATATGTGTGCTGTGTGTAAGACAACTTTGTATGCATGCTTCTGCTCTGTGTGTATACACACACACACACACACACACACACACACACACACACACACACAACCTTTTGAAGAGTCCCTTTGAAGCCCCTGTGTATTAGGTTTCAGTTCTTATTTCTTGCAGGATCCTAGCAATTTGTTTGTATAACAGAAAACTTCCAGATTAGTTGATGAAAGCCATAAAAGCTCTCCATTTTGGTAAGATTAAATCTTCACCGTCAAGGAGGTTAAAGGGTTAAAGTGTAAAGTATTACATCTGCACAGTACACGCTGGCTTTCATCCATGGATCAAAACAGACTTTACAAATATTACTTTAACTCAGGACTGTCCAACTGGCAGCCTACAGGTTGCATGCAGCCCATAAAGGGTAAATATGCAGCCTCTGGGCTTTTACCCAGCCATTGCTTCCTCATCGATCTCTGGCTGCTGCTTCCTGCCTTGGTCCCAGGGGCAGACAGCACAGGGAAGTGAGCATGAGTCTGGGCTATGTGGGCAGGAGGGAAGTGGGGAAGAGGAAATAGGGGCCATGCAGTAGTGGCAGGGAGAGGGCACCTACATGGACATGTGTTGCCAAGACAGGAGGGGGAAGCATGTGTGGGGGTACAGAGAATCACATTTTCATACTTGCATTGTACAGTGGGTGGGGAGGGCATCCACACAGCATTCCTGGTGTGGTCCTTGCTGATGTGGTATAGTCCCTAGCGGCTTAAACTGGACAGCCCTGATTTAATCTAACACTCCTGTGCAACAGGCTTTGCTAGCCCCATTTTATATTTGAACAGGACAAACCCCAAAATAAAAGAAAATCTCCACCAGAGCTAAGAAGAGAACGTTTCCCAATTCCATGCACTCTACATACAAACCCATCTTTTACACCTTGAAGACTGAGGAATATAGCACACAAGTTAGTAATTAGTATGCATGAGTTATATTGTAAAAACAAAGTAAAAGCAGTTCTAAGGGTAGCAAAGCATTATGTACAGGAAAAGAACAAACATGAAATTACATGTCTACATTTAAAGAAACCAGTTGCTTTTTTGGTCCTATTTCAGTATCTACATGCCTTTCAGAGTCTGCCGCTGTGGAGGTATTTTTTACTTTGCATTTGTGCTTGCCTCTTTCCTCCACAAAGAAGTCTGGCACATAAGCACTTCCAAAGTCCCACCTCTGATAGCTGTTCTTCGATAGCCAAAGGGTGCAAGTATTACATTAAGAAAACAAAACTACTTTAACAGATTTCTGGGCTCTTGACTTTAAAACTACTTTTTAAAAGAAGTTTTATTTAAATGCACATGGAATTAACCAATATTCTTTGTTGCTGCAAGTGGTAAACCCAAACCCAAGTATACCTGGACTTATGCCATCAGGCTTCTGTGTACTTCCACTGTTAACCCCCCCCCCCCCCCCC